ATGCCACCTTGGTCCCTAGGTCTTTCCAAAAATTCTCTGCGGATCCTAGGATTTTTTCCAGCCCACAAAATGAAGAAATTAACTTGTTCAATGACTGAAAGAAGGATGTATACAGAAAAACTGGGAGACACTGAAATAGATACAGAAATCTAGGTAAGACATTCATTTTATGCAATTAACCCTGCCTGCAAGAGATAAATACAGTACAGACCATCTTTTTATATCTGCCTCCTCCATTTTTTCATAAGTGGCTTGAAATTTTTCTCATAAAGATCAGAGAAAGCACGGGTGATATTTATGCCTAAATACTTAAAACCAAATTTTGATGTTCGGAAGGGGAGTTCTTTATCCAATATCTTAAGGGCTAAATTATTAATTGGAAAACATTCACTTTTGGATAGGTTCAATTTATAACCAGAAAAAGGCCAAATTCATTCAGGACATTCACAATATTGGGGGCACATGAGACAGGATCTGAAATGTAAAGCAGAAGATCATCCCATAAAGAGAGACTCTGTATTCAATTCCCATCCTGTTAATGCCATATATGTTAGGTGCTGTTCTGAGCATAATTGAAAGAGGTTCTATAGCTAACGCAAATAATAAGGGGCTAAGGGGACACCCCTGGCGTGTACCCCTAGACAGAGGAAAAGATTGGGATGTTAATTTATTTGTTATTACTGATGCTTTAGGAGAAGTATATAACAAGCGGGTCCAAGAGATAAAATTAGAGCCAAAGCCAAATTTCTCAAGCACAGTAAATAGATACCCCCACTCAATCCTGTCAAATGCCTTCTCAGCATCTAGGGAGACAACCACTTCTGGTGTCCCCCCAGATGCCGGAGAATGCACAATATTCAAGAGTTTGCGAATGTTAGTAAAAGAATGACGGCCTTTCATAAATCCGGTCTGTTCCACTGAAATTACCTGGGGCAATACGTCATCCAATCTACAGGCTAGGAGTTTGGCCAAAATTTTCACGTCTACATTTAGTAAAGAAATAGGTCGATAGGAACCACATTCAAGTGGGTCCTTGCCTGGTTTTAAAAGAAGAGAGATTGACGCCTCAGTCAGACTTGATGGCAATTTTTTTTGACAGAAGGAATGATTAAACATTTCAAGAAGAATTGGGGCTAGCTGAGAAGCAAATTTTTTATAAAATTCCACAGGATAACCGTCAGGCCCTGGGGTTTTACCACTTTGCATTTTTTTAATGGAATTTGTAATCTCTTGTAACTGAATGGGCTTCTCAAGATCATCTTTAACTTCCTTGTCTATCTTTGGAATCTCTAAGTTATCCAAGAAAGTAATCATACTTGAGCTATCCTGCGGAAATGCAGATGTGTATAAATCAGAGTAAAAGTCTTTAAAGGTGTTGTTGATTTCAACTGGATCTATAGTTGGTGAAAGTGAATCGCGTGTTTTGCGAATTTGTGGAATCAAACGAGATGCAGATCTGCATTTAAGCTGATATGCCAGAAGGCGACCTGCTTTCTCTCCGTGCTCATAATAATGACCCTTTAGCCACAACTGGTGCTTCTCAGTTCTTTCTGTTGATAATAAATCGTATTGAGTTTTTAGCGCAATCCTCTCCTTATATAATTCTGCAGTAGGGGTGATGGAGTACTGATGATCTATGTTTCTAATTGATTCAATAAGTAATTTCTCCCTTTGCTTTTTCTCTTTATTGAGTGATATAGTATACGACATAATCTCACCTCTTATAACAACTTTGAGTGTTTCCCATAATGTAGACGGGGATATAGAGTCTGATTTATTAAATATCAAAGAACTCATCAATTGCCTTTGATATGAATGCACAAAATTGATTGTCTGTCAGCAGGGCTGTATTCAGTTGCCAGTGATTGCGCTGTGATATATTTTGGGAGAATAAGAGATCAAGAACAACTGGCGCATGGTCTGACTCTACAATGGCAGTATATTCAACATTTTTTACCATAGGAAGAAGGATTTTGTCAACAAAAAAATAATCTATTCTGCTATATGAGTGATGGACGTGTGAAAAGTAGGAAAATTCCTTTTTGTATGGGTAGAGAAATCTCCATGGATCAACACATCCCGTCTCATTCAAGAGCTCACAAAGAGCTTGAGACATCTTGGAGCGTACTAAAGTTTTAGGACTGGAGCGGTCCATAGCTGGGTCCATCACAGTATTCAGATCCCCAGCAATTATGAGCTTATGTGAGTGTAAATTTGGTATGAGAGAGGTGAGTTTATTAATAAAACTAACGTCATCCCAATTAGGGCCATATATGTTTACCAGAACAACTGGAGTGTTGAAAAGAGAACCTGATACTACAACAAATCGTCCTTGAGGATCAGAGATGATTTTCTCTGGAGTAAACATTATTTTTTTATGAATCAATATTGCTACTCCGCGTGCTTTAATATTGTAGTCAGAATGAAAACTCTGTCCAACCCAATTCTTCCTGAGCCTCACTTGGTCCTTAATTTTCAAATGTGTCTCTTGTAAAAATATAATTTCTGCTTTTAGCCTCTTTAAGTGGGAGAAGATTTTTGCCCTTTTATTTGGCCCATTAAGTCCTTTAACATTCCAAGTTATGAAGCGAGTGGATAAAGATTCTGCTTCAGCCCTGGCATAATTTGTGTTATCAGTCATATTATTTCAAAGGAAGGGGAGGGAGGGAGTGAAAGTAAAGTAAGCGTAATGACAGAAGTAACACGAGTGCCCCATAGCATTTTTCAGTATTCCCCAAAAATAAAAATGTCACACAAAAACATAATCAAATCCCCCTGGCAGTATAATCCCATTCATAACAAAATAAACAATCAGTTGCATTAGTGAATAATCCCATCTCACCCCTACACAAAGCACACAACCTTCCTATGCCTGCCTGTCGAACATAGGCAGACTGCAGGATCCCTCCATCAAAATCTTGAAACTTCCAGTGCATCCTTAACTTAATGCTACCATATTATGGAGAGCCTATTACCATTTAGCAGTTATATTCTCAAACAATATATTTAACAACCAAATAAAAGAATGGAGTTAGCTTCATTAAACAAAGGTAGACAAATGAATTCCTCAGTTAACATTAGCTAAGTTTGGAAAGTAACTTGGGCTACTCTAACACAGCAGCCCAAAACGGTATTTTCAACGGATCACAAGACCATTGCTATGCCATGGCCTATTACTTAAAAACATTAAAAGAAATAGTGATTAAATAAAAAAAGAAATCCGAGCATTTATGCAATAAGAACTCTTAAGATAACAGAATGGGCACGATACAGATTTACCTCGAGATGATTGCGTTTCCATAATCAGTCTCTATATGAAACAAAGTTCGCGTGGCATCGTTCGCGAAAAGTTAGCTAGCTTGTTCCACCTTAGGAATACATACGCTCCATCGTCCAAAGCCAGGCTATTCTTGACTGTCCTGAGCCACGACCTGTCGGTTATAAAACGCCTTAGCCTCCTTTGGTGTATCGAACTTAAAGGTGTTTCCCTCGTGAGTGACTCGCAAGGTAGCAGGATAAAGAAGTTGAAACTTAACCCCTTTCTCATACAGGGCTTGCTTAATATCGTTGAACTCACGTCTCCTCGATAGACTGGCACTGAAGTCGGGTAAATTCTCAGGGTAGAATTTCGGTATTTCGCTTTGTGTTGCCTAGCCCATCTCAGCAGTCGCTCCTTTTCCTGAAATCGGTGAAAACATACCAAAAACGGTCGCGGGGAAAGTCCTGCTTTATCCGGCTTTTTGCCCACTCTGTGAGCTCTCTCAAGAATGGGGGGAGACTCGAACACACTGTCTGTGATCTCCATAAGCATGTTTGAGACGAATGCGACCGTATCTTCACCCCTCTCACTGTTTTCGGGAACATTTACAATTCTTAGGTTGGATCTACGTGAACGGTTCTCCAAGTCCTCAATTCGATCCAAGAGCTCCGCGTTTTGAGTACGCAGGGACTTGATAGCCGCTTCAGCAGCAAATACCTTGTCAAAGTTCTCCCCTGCCAGTGATTCCGTTGCGGTCAAACGGGTTTGAAAACTGTCCACAGTCTCTTTCAAAGCATTCATGCAGGCCTGTAACGGCCCAACAGACTGCTGAATGAGAATGGAAATGTCCTCCTTGAAACTGACACGTTGCTTAGCCAATTCTTCCACAAAAGCTGAGGCATTGTAATTCCTTCGGCTATGGAAGAATCTTCATTAGCGCTAGCAGTGGAGGCCATCGCGGTTAGCTTACTGGCAATCGTATTTCTCGTTGTAAGAGATGTCTGTTTTTGTCTGGAGGAAGTCATTTTAAACTCATAGCAACAAAAAAAAACACTCAGTTCGTTAAATTATTTTGATTCTAGTTCGTTTGAGGAGTTTTTATATAGTTACGTGCAAGTTTGGTCAGAGCTCCTCGCTCCTGCTGCCTACTCCATCATGGCCAAAACCGGAAGTCCTGCAAGTCCTTTTCAACCTTTATTCAATTAAGTACACCACAAAGACAAGATATTTAATGTTCAAACTAATAAACTTTATTGTTTTTTTTTTTTTGGAAATATTCACTCCTTTTGAATTTGATGCCTGCAACATGTTCCAAAAAAGCTGGGACAGGGGCATGTTTACTTACATCACCTTTCCTTTTAACAACACTCATTGTAGAGACTTTGTAGGTGGATTTCTTTCCCATCCTTGCTTGATGTACGACTTCAGTTACTCAACAGTCTGGGGTCTCCTTTGTGGTATTTTGCGCTTCATAATGCGCCATACATTTTCAATGCGAGACAGGTCTGGGCTGTAGGCAGGCCAATCTATTACCCGCGCTCTTTTACTACGAAGCCATGCTGTTGTTACACATGCAGAATGTGGCTTGGCATTGTCTTGCTGAAATAAGCAGGGACATCCCTGTAAAAGACGTTGCTTGGATGGCAGCATATGTTGCTCCAAAACCTGTATGTACCTGGCCGAAATAAATACACCTTGAGCTCTGAGAACTTTGTCTTGTCTCTTCGTTTGAGTTGAAGTCTCCTGGTAGCATAGCAGGAGAGTTCCTGCCTTCTACGCAGGAGACCTAGGTTCAAATCCTATACAAACCTAACAAGACTGAGCCATTAAAGAAGACTCAGCAAACACACATCGCTCCCAAGCTTTGATCCCTATGGATCAAGTCTGTGCAGCAGTGTTTCGTCATGATGCTACAACAGCTCAGCACAAACAACCTTTTTTTGTCATGAGCAGGCTCTTCGTGAGATCCAACTCATCCTGAGTTCCATACTTGATCATCTGCCTCCTGCTTCTGCTGCAACACGTACACCTGCCCCAGCCCTGCCTGTCTCTGAGCTACGACTTCCTGCTCCCGAGAAATATGATGGTAATCGCAATGATTGTAGGGCATTCTCAACCCAGTGCTCACTTTCCTTTGAGTTAAAGGGTACTACCTTCCCTACTGATCGCTCATGCATTGCATATATCATTACTCTTTTGACTGGGAGGGCCAGAGCCTGGGCTACAGCCATTTGCTACTGCGTTGAGTGTTTAACCACCTAGTGGCGGGCAGAGAAGCAGCCACTAGATTGTTCCAGCTGCGTCAGGGCAACACCAGAGTGGTGGAGTACGCTGTACATTTCCGCACCCTAACAGCTGAGAGTCGGTGGAATATGGAAGCACTCATTGCTGGTTTCCAATATAGCCCTACCAGCTGCATTAAGGAGGAGTTGGCTGCAATGGACCCAGCCGCTGACCTCGAGTCACTGATCAACCAGACCATTCATCTTGACAATCATCTGCGAGAAAGAAGGTGTGAATGACAGCCACAAATTGCCCCATATCTGGAACCAGTGGCTCAGTCACAGTCTGTCTCAGTGGTCCCAAGAGCTCCAGAGTTCCTCTCCTGGTTCAGAAGAACCTACGCAGCTTAGAAGAACCCGTTTGTCTAATGCTGAACGAAATCGTAGAATGAGTGAGAACTGTTGCCTCTATTGTGGGAAGCCAGATCACTTTCATTTATCATGCCCTGAGCTCTCGGGAAAAGCTCTATCCCGTCCAGAAGGGGGAGTACTGTGACAGGAGCTACTCTTACTTCCACATCCTCCATCAAACGCCTGCAGATTCCATTCACAGTTTCCTGGGAGCATCAGCAATATCACCATCTACAAACCCTTGCTGACTCTGGTGCTGCTGGAAACTGTATGGACCTTTCCCTTGCCAGTGATCTTCCCCCCCATGACTAACCTGGACCATCCTCTCTCGGTGACTGCTTTCGATGGAAGACCCCTGGGAAAGGGTACGGTTAATCAAGTTATCACACCAGTTCTTATGTTCATTGGGAAAAACCATCATGAAAAGATCCAATTTCACCCAGTCTACCGAGATCCCTTAAGTGCTTGGATTTCGCTGGTTGTCTCTTCATAGTCCTCACATCAATTGATCTTTCGGGACTGTGGTTGAGTAGGGTCCTGCTTGCCATGCTATTGCCTCTTCTCGAGAAACTCCCTTGTCCTAAAGCCTACTTGTCTCCCAGAGTTGTCCTAAGTCCCCTTTGAATACCATGCTCTGCTTGAAGTTTTCAGTAAGAAGAGAGCCACATCTTTACCTCCCCACAGATCTTACAATTGTGTGATTGATCCTCTCCAGGGAACTTACCCTCCTTGAGGACAAATCTTTTCCCTGGCCCCTGCTGAGACACAAGCTATGGAAGAGTACATCCAAGACTCATTTGAACCTGGAATTATTCTCCCATCATCTTCCCTGCTGGAGCCAGATTTTTTTTTTTTTTTTTGCCAGGAAGGATGGTGGGCTTCATCTGTGTATTGACTACCGTGTTCTGAATAAAATTACGGTTAGAGATTATCCCTTACCTTTGATGTCCTCAGCCTTTGAATTGCTTCAAGGGGCAACAATCTTTACCAAGTTGGATCTTCGTAATGCCTACCATTTGGTCCAGATCCAGGAAGGGGACGAATGGAAAATGGCCTTTAACACCCCAACGGGATAGTATGAATACTTGGTCATGCCTTTCGAATTAACTAATGCTCCAGCTGTTTTTTTTTTTTTTTCAGGCACTCATTGATGACGTATTGAGAGATACGTTGAATTGATACATCTTCATCTATTTGGATGACATTCTGGCCTTCTCAAAATCCATTCATGAACATGTCCATCATGTCAGGGCTGGACTCCAGCATCTGTTAGATAATCACCTGTTTGTCAAACCAGAAAAATGTGAGTTCCATGCCTCCAAAGTCTCCTTTTTGGGATTCATCCTTTCCAAAGGGAACCTCCATATGGACCCAAAGAAAACTCAAGCTGTCCGTAACTGGCCTCAGCCCACATCTATCAAGGAGGTTCAACGTTTCCTTTGTTGGCTAATTTCTATAGGAAGTTCATCAGAAACTTCAGTTCTGTAGCTGCTCCACTGACCAATCTCACTAAAAAGCAGGCTGGTCCGTTCGTTTGGACTCCAGAGGTTGAACAAGCTTTCCATGAGCTCAAGGTGAGATTCACTTCAGCACCTTTTCTTACCTTACCTGATCCGTCTCTCCCCTTTGTTGTTGAAGTAGATGCCTTGGATGTAGCAATGGGTGCTGTGCTGTCCCAGCATTCTTCAGATGGCATACTCTACCCTTGCACTTTCTTTTCCTCTCGCCTGTCTGATGCTGAGAGGAATTACGATGTGGGTGATCGAAAGCTCCTGGCAATGAAATTAGCCTTGGAAGAGTGGCAGCACTGGCTTGAGGGGGCTCAACATCCTTTCCAGGTATGGACAGACCACAAAAATTTGGAATACGTATAGAAAGCCAAACGTCTCAACCCCCGACTGGCGAGGTTGAGCCCTTTTCTTTAATGGATTTAATTTTGTTTTGTCTTATCATCCTGCTTCAAAGAACCAGAAGCCAGATGCTCTGTCTAGACTATTTCAGGACTTGGATGACAGAGAAGTCCCAGCATCCATCCTCCCTGACTCCAGGATTGTGGCAAGTGTGTGTTGGGGAATCGAGACGGTAATGCGACAAGTCCACCAGATGGAGCCTGATCCTGGAAATGGACCTTCAAGCCAGCTCTTTATCCCCAAATCAGTGCGATCTCAGGTTCTACAATGGGCACACTCTTCTCAGCTGACAAACCATCCCGGCACTGGCAGGACCTTGCAGTTTCTGAAGAGGCGATTCTGGTGGCCTAAAATGAGTGCTGATGCAAGGTCTTTTGTTCTTGCTTGCCCTGTTTGTGCCAAAAATAAGAGTCCTAATACCTCTCCCCTTGGCCTACTTCACCCCCTTCCTATACCTTAACAACGTTGGTCCCATATTTCCATGGACTTCATCACTGGCCTTCCTCCTTCCCAGGGAAATACAATCATTTCAGTTATTGTGGATGCTTTTCAAAGGCCTGTTGTTTTGTCCCCTTGCCCGAACTCCCATCTACTTGTGATACTGTTGAGATTGTGTGCCAGCAGGTTTTCAGGATTTTTGGATTCCCCCTGGATATAGTTGCTGATCATGGGCTCCAATTTACCTCACAGCTCTGGAAGGCTTTTTGTAAACTGATTGAGTGTCTGTCCGCCTCTCTTCTGGTTTTCATCCAGAATCCAATGGACAAACTCAGAGGATCAATCAAGATCTGGAAACCACCCTCCGATGTCTGGCATCCACAAACCCTTCATCTTAGAGCAGGTATGTCATTTAGGCAGAATATACTCATAATACCTTGTGTTGCTCCTCTACAGGTCTCTCACCTTTCGAATGCCAGTATGAGTTTCAACCTCCACTATTTCCAACCAAGAGGCAGAGGTCGGGGTCCCCTCCGCCCAACTCTTTATCCGACGGTGCAGATGTGTCGGGCAGAAGGTCCGGTCAGCCCTTCAAAAATCTGCCCGAAGTTACCAACTCCAGCCCAATTGCTGTCGCAGACCCGCTCCGTCTCTACGTCCTGGGCAGAGGGTCTGCCTGTCTCCAAGGGACCTTCCCCTGTAGGTAGAATCCCGCAAGCTGGCTTTAAGATTCATAGGGACCTTCAAGGTTTTGAGAAGGATTAATCCAGTCTCTTATCATTTACAGCTTCCCCGATCCATGCGGATCAATCCAACCTTCCATGTCTCCCATCTATGCCCTGTTACCACCAGCCCTCTGATGCTTGCTTCAAAACCCCCACCACCCACAATTGTTGATGGCAGACCTGTTTACAGAGTTAATTGTCTTCTGGAAGCTCTTCTTACACAACAAAGCATTTTATACTTAGTGGACTGGGAGGGGTATGGCCCAGAAGAACGGTTCTGGGTTCCGGCTTGAAACATCCTTGACCCAGATCTCACTGAGGATTTTCAGCGGTGACATCCAGGTTGGCCCAGAAGAAACGTCTGGAGAAGTTCTTAGGGAAGAGGGTACTGTCTGGATTTAGGACTGTTGTTCTTTGTGTTGGTCATGTGGTGTCCTGAGTTTTTTTTTTTTTTTTTTCATATCTCTCACTATATGATCACATGCCTTGTTTAAATTTTCTTTATTGTGTTCATTGCCTACCTGAGTCTTGTTACTGTGCTAATTTACGCTGTTTGGTTCCCATTATCCTTGCTCAGTCTTGAGTTTCTTCTTGAGAGTATCTGCCTGCAGTGCTTGTTCTATTTTGTCCTTGGATTTTTTGCTTGATTTTTCTGCTGTTTTGGTATCCCTGGCCTAAGTAAAGACACCATGAGCTCTGAGAACCTTGTCCTATCTCTTCATTTCGGTAGAAGCCTCCTAGTAACAAAGTGGTAGAGTTCCAGCCTTCTACGCAGGAGACCCAGGTTCAAATCCCCTGTGAATCTAACAGTATGTATTTTCTTTGAATGGGAAAATGTATGCAGGACTGGTTGCAATAATAATAAATCAATAAATTAAATTGTTGTAATTAGATGGAATGTATGCCTGTAGTGACATATAAGTGAAATCAAATGAGTTTTACACTTTGGTACCTGAGAAATCTGAAATGGCACACAGTGCTTATTTGGAGACGCCACCGAGACATTCCCAAATTAAAACTTCTCTAATTTTCCTCTGATTTACTTGATTACAATAAACTTTGGCACAGATAATGGTGACATTCTGTGCTGTAATTTTTTAGA